GTCCCGTCCCGCCGCCCTTCCAGCTCCTCCTCCCGGCCCGATCCGTCCCGTCCCGCCGCCCTTCCAGCTCCTCCTCCCGGCCCGATCCGTCCCGTCCCGCCGCCCTTCCAGCTCCGCCTCCCGGCCCGGCCTCGCTGCCCCCGCCCATGAGGCGGCCGGGGCCGCCTTCCCGAGAGCAGAAGATGGCGGCGGCCGCGGGCTGGGCGCTGCTGGCCCTGGCGCTGTGCGTGAGCGCGGCGGCCGCGACCGGCGGCTCTGAGGGGAAGCGGCGGGAGGGGCCGCCCAAGAAGAAGGACATTCGGGACTACAATGACGCGGACATGGCCCGGCTGCTGGAGCAGTGGGAGGTGCGGGAGTCGCCGGGGCCGGCGGGGTCCGCTCGCACCACGCGGAAGGAACGCCGCGGCTGCCGGGGGGCGGCGGGGCCGGGCCGGGGCAGCTCCGCGGGCAGCGGCCGCTCTGCCCAGTGGTGGGAAGGCAGGGGATCCCCGGGCCTGGGCGGGAGGGATTCTCGAGGCTGCTGAAGGGTGGCCGGTGCCGTGTTCTTTCCTCCGAGGCTCTGGGTCCGTGTATAGGGGTTTCAAAGTCGGGGCGAGCGGCCCTCGGCCTGCCCTGCCCGGCTGGCCCTGTCCCGCCTTCCCAGAGCCCCAGCACCCAGCCTGGTGCTCCGTCCCTGCCAGCAGCCTCGGTCTGGCTGAAAAGTCGGGTTTTTTCGAAATATTGAGCCATACACATTATGTGACCGAGGGTGGATACCAGGCGGAATATTCATTTCACGTTTACAGGGTAGATACGTTATTGTTTTAGTTTGGTGTGTCTTTCTTGTCTTTCCTCATAGTAACAACTTCTAATTCCAGCTCTCTCTTGTCGCCTTCATCCTTATCAGCCCACTGCCTTAACTTTCCTTGGCGGTTTCCCATCACTCTGTTCTCCATGTGATTATCATGCCATTGTTAGGTTCTTCTCACTCTGTTATGTTCCATCATCTTCTGATAAATGAATGATCTGCCAGAGCAGTCCTCACTGTCATTTATTCTTTCCCGTGAGGTTTGTCCCTGGAATATTTTGCAAAAATCCATAAAGGTAATAATAGAGAGAAAACTTCTGTTTGTGTAGCACCAGTTGCAACTGTACGTCAAGGTGGAGAATTGTGCTTTATATGTGAATTATAGATAAAGTACCAGGAAGTATGGATGCCTGCCTTGGCCCTGGTTGGCAGGTTATGGACTTATTCATCCCTTGGATTGTTACTGCGTGTATCCCTTTAGCAAGGGAGGTTCTTAGAAAATTGAGTTGAAATTTTAAATAAAATTAGTAAAAGGCTCAAAATTCACTTTTCTTTTAGTGGTATCAGCCAAGGACCCAGCAGGCCCAGCTGCTAAAAAATCAAGGCTTAATATTGCCCAACTTGAACCAAATTTAGCCTTGTAGAAAAAAAAAAAATCTTAGAAGGTGAGCATCTCTTTTTAATGAGATGGCTGAAAGGGAGGCTCAAGTTAATGCTGTTGTAACTCTTGACTGTATATTCTGCTCCAGCCCTAGTGGGCTGTTGAGGGTTTTTCCTTTTCAGCTGGAGCAGGTTCCTGATTCAGCTTACGGTGTGATGCACGAATGCAGATGTGGCAGAGCAGCTGGGGAGTCACTGCTCGGGCTGGGTGTAAAAGTGGCCAGTTCTTTTCCCCAGGATCGAGATTGATGAGCAGAGAGATGGCTTTTGTATTTGGATTGAGGGTGTTTCTTTTTCTTACCTATATTCATTCTCACACAGAGTAAGCACTTCTACATACTTACCTAACAAGCTACAAATGATGACCTAGGGCTCTGTCCACAAGGCCTTTTAAGCATAAACCATCCAATTATCAAATGCCAACTAATTTATTTCTACTTTTAACCCAATAACCAAACACCCGTGTTCCGCACTGTGTACCTTTCTGTCCAGTCACCCAATACCACCCAAAACCATGAAGAAGAAGGAAGAAAGGCAAAGACAAGCCAATGCCCTAGGACCTCCATCTTGTCCCTCATTCAGTACTATATCTCAAACTATAAAGTTTAAAATTTTCACCCAGTGACTTAACATAATTCTGTCTAAGTCACGCATTCACATTCCCAGTTTCTCTGCTTAGTTTTAGAAGCCTTCTCCATGGTCCAGTGTTCTCTCGAGTGTCTGAGCCTGTCAGCACAGATAAAGAGACATTTTCTGTGCCTGGGGCTCCAGCAGCTGGGGGTGTCCCTGAGGAGATGCACACAGAGCAGAGCTCAACAATTAGGGGTTGTTTGGTCTCCTGGCATGGTCAGTTGCAGGGCCTTTTGCCCTGCACACAGGAAACATGAAAGGCTTGAGGGGGTGGTGGCCTGAGGGTGGAGAAGAAGGGGTATGAGTGCACTTGATGGAGTGGGATGAGAAACAAAGGGGCCACTGTGAATTCGGGAAAGAGCAGGAGCTACGCTTGGGAATGAGGGCCACAGGGCGTATATCTGTACAGAATCAAATGTCATTACTTTCAACTGAATTAAATTATCCCAAATATTTTTTATTTCTGTGGCAATTAGACTAAAACCATTGGAGGATGGTGGTTGTGACATTCTTGGGTTCAGCTGCAAGCCTGAGCCTGTGGCTCCGGCAGCTTTCCCAGCAGGAGCAGCCACCTCTCTGTGCAGGAGCTCGTGCTGCCCCTTGCTCCTTGTGCATGACTGCCTGCTGATCCGGGAGAGTGATCTGCTGGAAAACAAGGATGGGCAACGGGGCAAAGAGGCAGAGGTGCTTCAGCAGCTCACTTACAGCCTGGAGGAAGCCACCAAGGGATTTTCCTCATGGAAAGGGACTCTCCTGAAGCCTGGAGTCCTGGGGAGCTGGACACAGAACGGGGAATCTGGGCCGGAGGTGTCTTAGTTACTGAAATATCTGGTGCTTTAAATAGTTCATTACTGTTACAAGCTCAGGGTTTCTCAGGCTTGACTCTGACCATTGAATTGGCAAAGCAGTTAAGTGGCATATGTTACTAATGTTTTTAAAAATCAAAATGCAGTGCATTTATGAGAAATTTCTGAGAATGGGAGCTGAGGGGAGGAGCAAGTGAAGGAATATGCAATTTTTCCTGTGTCTGTGTAACGCTTTCCCTCTGGAACCTCATGTTACTGTTAAAGTGAGTGAGTCTCCTAGACTTTTCAAAGCAAAACTTACACTTTCACTTTTTTACCTTTTAGATAGCTTTAAGCACAGCTGCATGACATTTTGTACAGAAAATAAGAAAATAAATGCCATCAAGGGGAGCTCTTGGCATCTTCTGATAATACTCCCATTCAAACTGTAAGAATACAACTTCAGGAGTATTTAGTTGAATAGTTAAGAAAAAAAATAGGTAATACATGTTAGCAGCTCATTTGTTGTCACAAAACCCAAAGTCAGTTTCTGTATTTTACACAGAGTATTTGGAAATGTTTCTTTTTGTCTTTTTCTTTCAAAACTGAAATATGTTTCCTTTGTTCCAGTTAAACCACACTTAAGTTTCAATTTGCTCTTATTTGTGGAGAATGTTTTCAGTCAATCACATGAGATTTTGTATTTTTACTGTTCTTTACCGATTTGACCATTCTCAGGCTTTCTGTAAGATAAGTAATGTTCCCACTTAGTGATGGTAGGGACTTGGGCTCTCCTTCCCTCCCAGTTCACTCATTTCAGAAATTTCGAGGTGTGTGAACTACTTGAAAGCATGTTTGAGACTTGCAAAATTGAAACAGACATAATTAGTAAGGAAAGAAAGGATAAAGTTTAAGGCTCCTACAGCTTCTGTTCTGTGGTCCCTAAACTTTAAACTGTTGTCTAGAAGTTGCAGAAGTGAGCTGGGGAAGGAACATGGGTCACTGGTGTGAAACCTTAGCCTTTGAGGAGCGTGGGATGCTCCATGGGTGTGTAGGAGGATGCTGCTGGTTTTGTGTATAAGCATTTGCAGAGATGTTAGATCAGCACTCTGAGAGCTGGAAATCAAGCTCAGCTCCTGACCTTTGAGGCCTCTGAAGGCGAATGTCTTTACCTACTGCTACAGGTCATGTTCCCAATGCTGTGATGCATTTTGAAATCACGACAGCACCTAAAATATCTACCTTAATTCCTGCTCATTTAATGGTGCTTAGGTGGATGCCAGTGTAAGACTTCTGAGGGGTTTTATTCTGTTTTTAATACTTTTTAATTCTACAATACAAACACATGCTACAGAAATCAGGTTCTGGCTTAATGTAAGTTGTCACCGTATTCAGCTCAGTTGTGAGCGGTTTTAAGGGGTTGTTTGATTGTGCTTTTCCAAATATTTAAATGGTTGTCAGCCTCAGCAGAAGCATCAAGAGGTTAATTTTTTTCTTTTTGGTAGGAGTGATTTACTCTGGGTGATTATGTTGTCAGGCTGTGAGTTACATCTGTGCATTAGAACCTTTGATCAAAATTTTTCTGTGGCATAGGCACACAGAAAATCTGAATTCTTGTGAGTTTAATTGTTTAAAGACACTAAGAAAACTTAAATTCTCAAGCAATCACATGATTCCCAAAAGTGAGTTTTGACCTCTGAAAGCAATACCAAATGAATGTTTTTTCATATATGTGTGCATGAGACTTTTTATTGCAACTTTCCCATTTCATCTCACATGCATAATAAATATTTGTGAAACCGTGAAGGAAAAAAATACTATTTTATCAGTTTCATAGGTGGAATTGAATTAGGCTGAAATATTTCTTGGTATGAGATAAAATGATATTCCACCTGTCAGTATGAAAATGTGCATAATTTTCAGGGGAGGGTTATAAATTGAAAGAGCACTCTTAGTGAAGTATCTTGAAACAACAGTCACTATTTCTTTTGGTTTCACAATCTCCATCATTCAGCTAAAAATATTTTATCAAAGCATAGTTATTCTCTAAAAAAAGAGGAATTAAAAAAAAAACCAAAGACCTAAAATATATTTGTGGAAGAGTTGAGTTTAAAGCTTCCTTGTCATTTTTAAAACAGAAAGATGATGACATTGAAGAGGGAGATCTCCCTGAACACAAGAGGCCTCCAGCACCAATAGATTTCTCAAAAATAGATCCAGGCAAGCCTGAAAGCATCCTGAAGCTGACAAAGAAGGGGAAGACTTTGATGATGTTTGTCACAGTGTCGGGAAATCCCACAGAAAAGGAGACAGAAGAAATCACCAGCTTGTGGCAGGGCAGTCTCTTCAACGCAAACTACGACGTGCAAAGGTGAGCTGTTGTGCACAAAGATAAAGTTCTTGCCTTTGCAGAACCATTTCTTTCTTCCTGAAAATCTTTTCAGCTGTCCATCCTTTGCTGTTCTCCACCTTTATCATTCATTACTATTTCTGTTTCTTTGTCAGTTGCAACAAAACTTTGGTGTGGTGCAGAAACCTCTTCAATGCTTATGCATGATGTGTGTGTGTGTAGCCCAAATTTTATCTCACTAGGATTCAGCTGTTTATCAGTTCTAGCTGCAGTAGTTTGCCTCTATGTGCTTGATAGAAAACATCACACTCTGAAGACTTGTCACCACAAAAGGCTTTCTGTTTCCCTGCTAAAAAATGTGACTCTTTTTCTCTCTGAAGAGAGCATCAGTTTATAACAGAAGAATGTTGTGCTCATGTATTGAGTCTGAGAAGGGTTGCAGTAAGTGTATAAAGCAAATTTAATCCTCATTAGTGGATTTTACATAGTGCCAAATGAGTTCTAAGTTTGTTTCCTCATTCTTGCTTCCTTGGTTACTTATTGATATACTTCATACATTTTATTCTTTAATGTCCTAGAAGATTGTTCTCTTGTCCCCATCTCCAGGCAACAACTAGACCAGCTTCTTGCTCTTAAACATGTGCCTTAGTCATGTAGGCTCTCTGAGCAAATGCTGGAGTGTTTGAAAAGCAAAGTTAACTGAAAAAAATATGGATTTTTCCTCTAGGTTTATTGTTGGCTCCAATCGGGCCATCTTCATGCTGCGGGATGGTGGCTACGCCTGGGAGATCAAAGACTTCCTGATAAATCAGGAAAGGTGTGCAGATGTTACTCTGGAAGGTCAGGTTTATCCTGGCAAAGGAGCAGATGAAAATGAGAAAGTGAAAAACAAAACAAAACCTGAAAAAGCAAAGAAGAAAAAAGATGCAGAGAAGAAATCTAATGGCATCAAAGAGGACAACCGAGCAACCAACCAGAGAGAGGAGCTATGACAGCCACAGTACCCAGACTGAACCCTGCTCTGCTGCTCCTTGAGGGGAACCTGCTGATGAGTCTTGGCTTTTGGGGAGGAAGGAAGCAGAGACTACTGAACCTTAAATTTGTGTTGAAATTCACCAGTTTACTCATTGCTGTTGGCCCTTTGTTTAGTTACAGGAATGGTAATGCTTCATGCTGGCAATTGACTGCTTTAGTTTGTAATTTCTTTATGCTTTTGTTGTTGTTTAAAACTAGCATACAAATCTGTGTGTTTAACATTGCAAACTTAATTTAAGTGGAAAAGAAGAATTATGGTCTCAGAATACACTGATGCTCATCTGTAGTAGCTGTGTCCATCTTGGGTGTGTAAATCATGGATTCACAGCTGCTGTCAGAGAGCCTAGTGCAGTGTGAAAAGATTCTCTTGGACGATGGTTTGAGAGACACAGTTGGCACAAAACTGCCCAAAGTTACAAAGAATAGTGGGCCAAAGATGCCTGAAATTACAGGGTTTAGGACATGTTTGGTTAGACTGCCTTTTTCTTTAAAATAAACTCAACCCATTGTGTCCCAGAAAATCTGTGGCAGTGCTCGGGAGTGTGATGGACCAGGTAGGAACTCTGCTAATGCACTCCAGATCTGTACAGGAGGGACACTCTGTGCCCTTCAGAAGTGAATGGAATTGTAGCACCTGCACCAGCAGTGTCAGGGTGAAAAGTGAAGACAAATCCAGGGCTTTCAGGTTGCTCCTGCTGCTAAAGGACTGTGCCTCTGTGCCTGTGGAAGCAACTGTTCCATGTCCCCCATTACTCAGGAAGTGAGCTGGAAGAAAAAGCTTTAACTCTGAAGTTAATTTGGTTTACTGATTTAATGGTTTATTTAAATATTTGAAAAATACTAGTTACAGCACAGAGTTAAACTTGGAGTTAGACATATCAGTTACTGATGCTGATCTGGATAGAGTTTGGTGGGTGTTTTTTCTTGGTACAGATGCCTGACTGACTTAGTTAATTGTAAATGACCATTTGATTAGAATACAAGTTGGAATACTAGAATACAAGAAGTTGGAATACAAGAATACAAGAATATGGGAGCCAATACTTTGTATAATTGGGAAGGGTTTAATATTACTCAGATTGTATTCAGTCAAATGCTTTGCTTAGAATTGTTTCCCTTCTGCCTTACTACCAGTTAGGGACTAAAGGCACCGAGTAGTGTGGTCCACATCATTTTGCAGAGGATGAGCACAGTATCCACTGCCTTCATTCAATACTGGTATGGTGTTACTTTTTCTTTAAGGTGCTAAAATCCAAATACCGGATAAAAGGTCCTAATTGAACCATAATGGTTGATCTTGTGGAATACTTCGGTATCAAAAGTATGAAACTGTGACTGAGTCTTTGTTCTAAAATAAAAGATGTCTCTAAACTTACTGTTTTGAAGAGTAGTAAAACCTTTTAAATAGATCTGCATTTAGTTATGTATTCAAGAGGCAGACCAACTCATCTTTGGTTTCTCTATGTAAGGACTAAATAATGTTGATGAAGTTCCAGTTGATTCATTTTATTTAATTTTAATTATATTTGTGTGAATTTAGATTAAAGAAACCTTTGCAACTACATTAAACAGGCCTGTACCTGTTTGAGTGGAAAATTAAAATTTGTTTCTTCAGGATTAACTATTACTTTATATTCTACTACTAATGCAGATGTTCAGTGGAGTTGAGAACAGTCTCAGTAGATATTTGGGTAGTTGAGATGTACAGTCCAATTCTTGTGCATAACTAATTTATCATTTGGTCACATACTCCGGGTTAGCACCATCATTTGTAAATAATATTGCTTCTCATCTCAAGGGAAGACCAGAGGTCATATGAAACTATAAAAATGAAATATTAATGAGTTTTTGCTTTTCACAGTTATGGTATAGAGGTGACAATTCAGATTTTGATCAGAAAGACATGGAAGTGCAGTTTTATATTCCTCTTAATGCTGTTTCCTTTTTGATCAGATTGGGTTTGAGACTATTGGAGAAACAATTACTACACTATATAGCCCAGCTTTTAAATATGGATATTTCAGTCATTCATAAATCTACAGTAGATTGGGGCTTTCCCCTTTGTAGTTAAAAGGAGCTTTGTTGAAATTGAACCAGCCAATTGGCCTTTTTTTTTGGTTGGTTGGTTGTTTCTCAGTTGCCCATGCCAAATGCAGATATATCTTGTGCCACATAGCTTAATCAAATTTCAAAGTGTTTGGGGGTCTTTTTGGTTGTTTTGTTGGGGTTTTTTTTAGGTTTTTAATCTGTGTGATGACTTGGCAGTTGTTTTCTTTGATATAAAACACAAAATGCCACCTTCACAAAATAAGTTTCTTTTACTCTTCCATTTTTCTTCTCCCTTTTTCATGCTTTACACTAACCAAATACTGAAATATACCAGTATATATGGCAGTCTGGCAGGAGCTGCTTTACCCCAGCCAATTTTTCCCTACTGTCAGAGATCATTACTCAAGAATAACCTGAATTGCCTTTTAAATCTGGTAAAGTCTTTGAGACAGTTGCGCTTGTCCTGGGACGGTGTTACATAACCAAATGTTTGTTGGTGATTTAAGGGGCCCAAATGCTATCACATACATGGATATATATATGTATATATATATATCTCAAATATCCTCCAAAAGTTACAAAATACCAGGAATGTTCTATGAGTGCCTCAGAAGATGGAGTCTCCTTTGGAGGCTTATCAGGCTTTTAATAACAGATTTTTAATTCCACATACAGGACATTCAGATACCTCCTTTAAAACTAAATTCAATCAGTTGGGTGGTAATTATTGCTCTTACTATTTCCTTCTTTGTTCATTTCTATACAGAGGTACATGGAAAATCATCTGTTTTCATGACAGCGAAACATCTGCTGCCTTTCTCCTCCCAGCATAGTGGTTTCTCTGTTCTAGTGCTATAACTAACTTTTCTGAGCTACTGTTCAATTTTTAACCCAGCTCTCCTACTCAGAAAAAACAGTTTGTCAATGATGCTACACAGGATGTGGTTGCACTTTGTGGAAAATTTACAATGGACAATCAACTTTTTATGTAATAAAATACTGGAAAAAATATTCTGGGTTTTGTTGATATGGGATTTTTCTTTAAACTGTTCTGACACAAACTACAACAGGATTTCTGATCTTAACTCAGAGTGGTCAAAGCATTTCTCTGAAGAGTCAGGTCAGCCTTGACTTCCAAGAGATTACTGTCACTGTTCCTGAAGTCTTTCAATTTTGTTCTAAATAGAAAATTATAAAATGCCATTTTGTAAAGATATGGAACAACCTACTTTTATCTGATATTTGGCCACTGTTCTTGATGGGTTTCTGGTAAGGCTTATAAATTACTTCCATTATTTTATCTGTGGCTCATTTCCTTTTTTAATCAGGAAGTAACACTGCCTTTTCCAGAGGCTTTTTCTTTTAATTGCATCAGATATTTATAGAAATTCAAAGAACCTGTTCCTGAATAGAGAGGATGTCTCTGTTTTTAAAATGCCTAATTCATTGGTAGGTTACGTTTTTCTTTTTTAAGATTGTCATCCTACAGGATCCATTGATACCCTGCTATTTGATAATTCTTACTCTGGGATAAAATGAACTGGTTTTGAATATCACTATTTTTTATCTTTTATACTGTGTCCTTTTAACAGGACAAATCCCACTGAATTCAGGTAGTACCAATTTGCCAGGAAGGAAAAGAAGAAGGAAAATCACTCCACTTGGATTTTTGGATGATGGTATATTTTCTCCTGCAGTAGTTCGGTGGTGGAGGGGGTTGGACACAGGAGAGCTCTGTGCAGAGCAGTTTTTGATTAGCATTTAAAAAGCTGCTGTAACACGCAACAATCAGGCATTGCACAGTGCCAGCTTCAGCCAGGGACAGATGGGAAATGCTTTGTTCCTTTCCCATGTGATGCTACTTAACAGACCAGTGTTGATACTGGCTGGGTTATAAGTGCCATTATACCAATTGTTCCTGTGATAGGAAAACCAGATCTCTTAACCATCATTTAAATTAACAGTCATAGTGGTAATAATTAATTATTCTTAAAATGCTGTTATATGTGTTGTTATTATTACTTAGACATTGGTATTTTGGGAGGGGAAAATGGGACAGTTAAAGGAGCTTCAGCCTCTTCCCTGTCTTATGGGCAAAGGCTACAACTCAGAAATAGAACCTTTTTTCTTTCTTACTCCAGAATTGTGTCTCCATTGCAGGGGGACAGAAGACACCCTTGTTTTTTACAGAAGAGCAACTGAAATGCTCTAATTCATGGAGTTAATAACCCAAACTTTTTTCCCTTAGGTAATTTACTGATACCTAAAAAAAAAAACCCCAAAACCTGTGGGCCCATCTTTACTGCCTGCAACATCTGCTGCTCTTAAAGGTAATTTTTAGTTGTGTCTGAACAGAGGCTGGACTTCTGTTGGCACCCTGCCCAGTAATTTTGCGGGAAGCACTGACCAGAGCACTGAGTGCTCATTAAATCATTAATATTTAAATCAGCTCAGCTGCCTTAATTGGTGGCAGAGTTACATGTCATCAGAGCTCTGTGTGCATTGGCAAGCGGTGAACAGCAAGGCCCTGGAATTTGCTTGCGAGGTGCAAGGATTGAACAGCACCATGAGGTGACCTAGGTCTTGCTGTAATTTATATAAAGTTTTCTCTGTAGTGAGGAAGACTGAATCATACAGGAATAATTGTACTGCAAGGGTGTATTGAAAATAAGATCATGGTTGAGCACTTGCTGAGTCAATATAAAAATAAGCAAAAAGGTTTAATAGGTATATTTATATGACCATTGCTATTATTTCTGAGATCATGCCTGCAGGCCATCTTGTATATTTGGGATTTTTTTAACTTATCCTTCCTGCAACTCCATTTCATTCAACTTCTTTTTGCAAAAAAAAAGAAATATTAGAAATTATTCAGTTTTCATCCTCTCATCTAAAATTATATTTCAGAAGTGTCAAAAATAGTTCATATTTGAAATTACGTGAGACTTCATATGAATATTTTATTATTCATCCTGCCAGTTGTATCCACAGCCCTGTGCCTT